ATGTGAAAAATAAATACAAATGTTCGGGACTAGCCCGTGATACATATTATTTTTTGATATACATCGATATCAATACATTAGAATAAATTCACGAAATATACATGCAAAAGTAAACGCGATTATATATGCGAAATCAGCCACCAGGGCCAGCTTTATTGATACAGAAAAATGAATTATAAATTATTCGGAATCCACATTTGTACTATTTTCTTTTTGTCTTTCTGATATAGATGCCGATGCATGATATAGCAGAGACAAATTTGTAATTAATATATTACGTAAAAACAAAAGGGTTTCTACGAATTTAGTTACAGTATCTGCACTTGATGGGATTTCAGCTGATTGTATATGTAAATATCTATGGATATCAGCTATATCTCTGACGAGAACATTCAGATGCAATATATTACCTGCTATTTGCACCCCAACTATTCCGAATTGTTCTTTCTCCGGTTTAAGGACTCTGCGAACCCAATATATACCATCATTAGTCTCCCTCCATAGTTTTATCTCATCATCCGTCTTTTTCCGAGGGTCACAATATAATCGCGGACATTCTAAGTACATAAGTTCGAAGAAGATCTCTAAATATTTTATCACAAACATAATATCCGGTCGTCTTCCCCGCCCTTTGCCTTTTCTATCAGAACTAGCAATGCTCTGCCGTTCTGAGGCGCTGATAAATGAGAACAAACTAAAAGGGAGATTTTTTAATATCGCTCGAATTGACAATAAAATTACGGTCGATTGGTAAGTTCCTTCATTTAACGATTTTGCTAGTTCGGAATTGAAGGCCGGGTTAATCCAAATCTCTTCCAGAAGAGTAAAAAGCCCTCTTATAACACTTGCAATTTCTTCCTCAGATTCTTTCCAAGTTCCATCATGGATAAGTTTTTCCGGCGGTATATTCTGGTACTCGCGATTGACAAAACTTGATACGAATTCTTCGCACATTTCTTTAACCCTCGGCATAAGTTCAGGCTTCATTTGCCGAGTGGGTTTCTAATAGAAAGCATTATCAGAATACTTTATTTATATTTGTTTTGAGAAAAGCCTCGAAGAGAAGCCTCTAGTGCTTCTACGGACCAGACTCGAACCAGACTTTAGTTAAGTTTGAGTCTGGTCTGATTTTCGGACCAGACTCAGACTTTTATATTCAAACTTTTTAGTCAAGTCTGAGTCTGGTCCGGGCCTGGTCCGAAGTCTGCAGACTAGTCTGAGTTCGAATACTCGGGTCATAGCTATTGTTACCCGGGTAGCCTGTATAACATCTATTACAGCTGTTTTCATAAATTCTGGGGCATCTGACAAAAATTGCCCGAATGATTTTTCGGGTAATTCGATTAAGTTATTGATTTCGGCATGATAGTTACAGATCTAAATTACGTTACATTACATACATATACATGGTAATTTGATTATATATATGTTTTCGCACAAACTAAGCAAACTAAACCTGTTGGGCAAGTGTTCAAATGAAAGTTTAATAATATTAAACGTGTCGGCAATTAAAATCATCTGCAGAACTAGTATCATGGCTTTTATATACGGGTAGAAATTTGCGTAATGTTACATATCAGTAACACGATTTGTCACACGTAAAATTTTATCATATGATTTTTGTAGATCACATAAATCGACGTAGTTGCATTTTTAAAAAATTTGATACAAGTTTTAAATATAAAAAATAATGCTTATTAAAACAAAAACATTGCCGAGGTTTTTACGAATCAAACGGTATAAATTGCATAAAAAACTAACAACTCCTTACGAAGTTCAATGCCCTCAAAGATGGGCGACCATTCTGTCTTCGTAAGTTAGATTAGTTGTCAGTTTGCAAGGTACCGGCTTGAAAAGTAGTTTATTAGTTGCGTCTAAGTGAGAGCTTTCTGCAAACCTTTACCTTCAAGTGCTAGTGCATTATGAACATGGGGAGTAAAATCAAGAGGAACTGTTTTGTGATATGTAGATTCATATTAATTGCTGATTCATTTTGTCTTCGTGAGTTAGTTTAGTTGTCAGTTTGCTTGAAAAGTAGTTTATTAGTTGTGTCTAGGTGAGGGCTTTCTGCAAACCTTTACCTTCAGGTGCTAGTACATTATGAACATGGGACGTGGAACTGATTTGTGATGTATAGATCATATTAATTGCTGATTCATTTACGATTTCATTAAAATTTACTAATTTTTTTTTTTTTTTTTTTTTTTTTTTTAATTAGATTTTTTATTAAATAAGAATATTCTTAGAACAAAAAAAAATGTCTATATATGTAGTACAGTCAGACTTCTCTAAGTACACGCTCTTGGTACTATAACAACATGCATTTAGATAATAAGAAAAAAAAGTATTTAAAGTTAAATATACATTTGGCCAGAATTTGAGTGTGCATGTAGAGAGGGTGTGCACTTATAGAAGGTGCATTTAGAAAAGTCTGACTGTATTAAATGAAAGCCATGGTGTCCTTTATTTCAAATTTATGGGGGTTTTTTTTCTTATTTTTTCGATCTTTTATATCGATTATACCACCGATCTTTAATTCATTTTGGTGTCCAATAATCAGTATGCAGAGACAATGCTTCTGCTAGTTCATTGATGACTTTATTTGGTAATTCAGCAGAGTTTTCAAATTCTTCAAGTCGTTTCAAAAGCTCCTCTTCTTCATTCGAAGGGTTGTGTCTTGCACACTTTACTGATGAAGAGATTTGTACAGGATTTGTTGAGGATGACGATTGTACAGGATCTGTGGTTTGTACAGAATCACTGTTTATCACTTTCACTTTTTTTGCTTTTTCTTTTTTACCCTTCTTTATTTCTATTACTTTCATAGGTATTAGTATGCGCTTACTTCGTCCTTCTATTATCTGAGTAATAGTATGAAGAATATTATATTCAACAACATTGATCATTCTTTCAATTCCTATTTGATAACAAGTGAACATTTGTTGATAACCATCCTCTGTCAATTGTGTAGTAGTTTCCACGAATAAAGTATGTGATTCCGGTTGTATATTGCTAAATGCTGATTTGAGCTTATTGATTAATTTCCAAAGAGCTTCTTGGCGATTTTTAATAGATTGTAAACTTCTGCTTACTGAATGATCTCCTGAAAATTCCGAAATCATGAGGTTAAGTCATTCGTGCTCGGACTGTACTGCTTTAATGTTTTGTTTTAAATTATCTAAATTAGTTGCGTATCCAGTCATATTTTCTTTTACAAATTTTACTCCAAATGTTTCTAGAGCTTTGTCAAAAGCAAAATAATGCTCTTCTTGGGTTAAATTGACTGAGGGTATTGTTCGAAGAGTTTGAAGAAACTGTGGATTTCTTTGAAGGTCTGATAAGAATCATGCCACAGATTCAGTATATCTTATTCTTCCAGTTACAGAAAATAAAGGAGCGAATACCATCAAGCTATATATCTGTAAATCGAAGTTTGCCATACGAATGCCAAGCTTATGCAATTTCAAATAACCAACCCATTGATAAAAATTATACCATACTTTTAGCAAATTATTGTTTTCAGTAGGAATATCATTAATAGAAATTTGTTTATCCTGAATGTATAGATGAATCGCAACTCCAACTGCTATCCAAATAAGCTCAAGTACTTGAAATGTTGCCCGATAATCAGCAATTTGTTCGAGTTTATCAAGAAATTTAACGCTGAGACATGAAGCAAGTTCAAAAAGTCCGTAGCCTGAAAAACCAGAAATTAATATACTACACATCATCTTATTGGTATGCTATTGTTCTAAAATGCAATGCACCATTTGATTTTCATTTTTATAATCTTTCATGCGATAATAAATTGCTTCATCATATGCTAAATTTAATACATTACTCTCCATACAATCAAAGTCTTTTAGGAACATATTTGCTGCCACGTGAACATGCTCATTCATGTTTGGAGCCTCTCCCAGTTCAAGAATTACAATGTTCGGAGGTGATACAAATGGTGCAGAGTCGATATATTCTTTAATAGCTAAATCAATATGTTCAACACCAAATTCCTGCTGTAACTAATTAATTTATTAAAAATTGTGTCTATTTTTCTTTGCCATTGTTCCATAGTAAAATTTATACCAAAAAGATTCTGATTTTCTAACGATTTTTCATCTAAATTAGCAAGCTCGGAATATTAAAATTGAAAAGCCATCCGTAATGTAGCATGTGCGGTAACACGTATTACATCATAAATATTGCCATAATGAAAAGTCACATCTCTCATATCGATATTATCTATAACTCCAAAGTTTAAAACATTTGGATACGTAATAAGCCTTGATTGAGGTTCTGCTGCTGACATTCTTTTTTTTTGAATACATACTTCATAATCCCGAACATATAATACTATTCGCACTGCATAGAGAATTCGGTATAAAGATTCTATCATTTTTGGTCGTCTACAAAGAGAGGAAAGAATATGTGTAATCTATATTTTCCAATGAGAAAAAGCAACAGTAAGAATTACTGAAGCAAAGAGTGTAGTAAGTAATTTTATTTTTTTTTTATCTAATTGTGGAAGAGATTGGCCTCTTTCTCTTCTCTTTCTAGCCAATACTTTATTTCTTTTTTCTTCCAGAACTGAAATTAAACCAACAAAAAAATTTGTAAGTGGCAATGGCATGGCAGTATAATAATTATCGAGCGACTCTGGCTCTTCAAGTAATGGCAAACTCTCCTTAAGTTTAGTTCATGCTTGGATTACAGAATATCCAAGCATTCTTCTAAAATCTTTGCATGCAATATCCTCTAAGTGCATTGCTTGTACTTCTTCACTAACATAGATTTTATTAACTTCAAATGCAATTTTTATTAAAAAAGGGCTAGGTGTTGTAGTGGTGGTAGAAGTTTCATCAACAGTATTATGTGCTTCATGCCTATTCTCGGTAACATTGTCAAGAAGTTTAACAAGCTTATTTAATAAATTAATTTTTGTAGTTTCATCATAACTTATAGCAGTCTGTTCAATCTATTTACTGAATTGCATCAAGGCAACCGTAATATCATCACTATGCTGCCCTTGTTCTACACATGAAGCCAAACGTTTTCTCTTTTTTGGTGGAATATGAAGATGAGTTACAAGGCAGTTTGTACAGATAAATCGAGGGTTCTCATCGATAAATAATCTAACCAATAGAACTTTATGTTCAGAGATTGCTGGACAATCAAACAATCCATGGCATGGTGCTTGAATTGTGCGTCCGCATACTTTCCACGTATGCGATGCACATATTTTACTTCTTGTAATAAACCATTTAAATTTTTTGCAGAATAAACAACGACACGAGGTAACAACACTTTCTTCAATTGTTCTTACAGCTTTTATACGCTTTTCTGAGTTAACCTTGTGTACAGTATTTTGATCATAGTTGACATGATGCATACAAACCTTTAACTATGAAAAATTGTTCCTGACTTTTTTCACAACTAAAGAATCAACCTCCCACGTACCACATAGTTGTTTTATACTACGGTCTCCTTGTTGGTTGCATCTTTGGATTATATGCAAATCATCATCATAATCAATAACAACACAACGTGTTAATTCTGTAGCATTGCTAGAAGTAACAGGAGTTTCAATCTCATCGTGATTAAAAGATTCATCACTTTCATCATCAAGAAATTCGTCATCACTGGGAAACTCATCACCCTCAAGAAATTCGTCATTGCCTTCAAGAAATTCTTCTTGTGAATCCCAATCAAATATGAAATCTCTGTCATATGCTACGTGTTCAATACTATCATCAGATCCTTGACTATAAATTTCTTCATAGTCAGATAAAGTTTCATATAAGTACTTTTCCATAATTTTGGTTTATTAATTATGAGAAGACTAGTTGAAAAATTGATTAAACTTTAATAGTTGATAATTTGATGAAAAGTTAGGTTAAAAGTTTTATTTTTTTTTCAAATCAGTTTGATAAAATATTTTAAAAGATTGGAAATTTCGCTTTAATTTATCTTCGGTTTGGACAAAGTCAGTT